GCAGGGCTGGGCCGTGCACAGCCGCCCCACTTGGGGTATTCAAGGCGGCCACGGGATGTCGAGGAACTTGGAGCGGCTGCGTGAGGGGTGGTGGGGCTGGCCCTGCTCCTCCGAATATGGCAAGGACGTATTAATAGTTTGGTGGTGAGAAACTGTGCCAGGAGCCCTCGCTTTGCCCAGAAAACAAGGAAAAGGGGCAGCGCTGCCGGCTTCCAAGGTGCATCCTTTGCCGAGCTGTTGTCCATCTGCAGCATCCCCAGCAATAGAGTGGGCCTGGGGATCTGGGAGCCCATCCTGACCCACCAGCCAGGTCCTGGAGTTGTCAGGTCAAGGCATCCCTGAGAGACGGGGTTTATTTTGTGTTCAAGGGTGCTTGGGTGAGCATGTTTTAGAAAGCAAACGCTTCCCAGCTCTGAAAAGCAGGATAGGCGCTTCCTGCATCCCTCCTCCTTTGGGGTGACCTGGAGGCACCGGCACCTGCTTGGCCCGTGGGTTTGGAGTGGTCAGTGGCATGCTGGAGATGCAGTCGGCTCTCCCGCCCTGCCAAGCCCCTTGACCATCCCTCTCCTCCCTCCCTGCAGGGTGCTGCCCACCCACGTCCCCACCGCTTTCCTGCCGCCGTCGGGTGCCCTCTGCCCAGGCACGCTAGGTTCCGCCAGTGTGGAGGCACTGGTGAGCGTCCAGGCGGTCTCGGCCAGCAGCCGCCTGGCCCGGGCAGACGCAGTCCTGCGGGAGAACGAGAGGCTCCAGCGGGAGAGTGAGAAGCTGCGGCGGGAGCTGGAGAGCTGTGCTGAGAAGGCGAGCCGCATCCAGAAGGTGAGCAAACAGCGGCAGCCCCATGGCCACGGCTTCATGTCCCCCTGCCCGGGGGGATGCTCAACCAGCTGCTGTGAAAATTCACCCCCTTTAGCGTTTTAATCCCTTCTCCCCTCCCTCCGGTGGCTTGTTCCCCTCCAAGCAGCTGTGTTTCGGCAGCGTGGCAGCCGGGATGGGGGAGAAGGAGCCCATTCTCCAGTGACCCCCTCCCTCTGCTTGTCCCCCTCATCCCTGGCCACCACAGAAAGCCCTTTGTGCAGCTGCGTACAAGGGGCGGCTGTTCCCCACCAGCCAGGCTACGGTGAAGCCAAAACCTGCGGAGGGACTCTTCTGCAAGAAGAAAGGCAGAAAAAATTAGTTTTTCCCCCAAGACGTGCACTGGGGGTCAGTCTGGGAGGGGTCCCATGGGTGCGCTGAGCTCCTCTGGCAGCTCTGGTTGGGCTGAGCGACCCGGGTGAGCTTTGGCCAACATCTCCCTTTCCTTTCCTCATTCCACAAATATCTAACCCCAGCCTGTCCCTTCCTCTGCCCCAGCTGGAGAGTGAGATCCAGCGCATCTCAGAGGATTACGAAAACCTTGTCAAGGCATCTTCCAAGCGGGAAGCCTTGGAGAAAGCCATGAGGAACAAGAGAGACGGCGAGATGCGACGGCTCCAGGACTTTAACCGAGACCTCAAAGGTGAGGGACCCTCCGTGTCCCCATCCCCGTGGGCCCTCTCTGTCCCCCGGCTTTTCCCTCTGGGTGTTTCCACGGGAAGCCAGTCTTCTCCCACTTCCCCCGGCTGAAATCTTGTATTTAAATCTTAATTGGGTTTAATTGCCTTTGGACCAGAGCGGTTGGAATCGGCGAACAAGCAGCTGGCCAGCAAGACCCAGGAAAGCCAGGAGAGCAACCAGGGCAGCGTGGCCAAACTCCTGGCACAGAGTAAGTCTCCGGGGATGCCCCTCCTCACCCGGCTCCCCATGGCATCTGTG